GTCGAAAGAGAGCGTCCCGCTTGGGGAGCGGGAGACGTGGCCCGGGGTGGGGCAAGGGCTGCGCGTGTCACTGCGGAGCCGGATACGGGGAGGGCGCGGCGGCGGCGGCGGGGTAGCCACCGGACCCGGGCCGGCGTGGGGTAGGCGGGGCTGGTAACGGTTTCCGCCGGGAGCTCTCTGAGCTCGGGGGCCGGCGCGGGACGCGAGCCTGGCGCAGCCACCTTCGTGCTCCGCGACCGAGACTGGCGCCTCTGACAAAATGGCCTCGGTCTCCGCGCCTGACTGAAGGCGCGGTGCGAACCCGTGATTGCGGCGCGGAAAGGGGGCGCCGCGGGCAGGCCCCGTGTGCGCCGAGCAGCAGCCTTCGAGGGGCTGTCCAGGAGCTGCAGCCCCGCGGGGGCTGGAGCAGCTCTGCTAGGTGAGCAGACTCCTTGCCCCCGCCCTGCTCACGCAGTCTCCACCTGGTAATTCTAGCTGTTCCGGATTTAACGCCCCAATTCAGGCTCTGGATAATGGGAACAAGTCGAGTCTTGTCCTATTCCTGGGGCAAGTCGGTCTAGCAATGGCCTTGGAAACTTCCAAGGTTACTGTTGCACTGAAGCGAAGGAGTCCCCGGCCGGCACCAGCACGCACTTTGCCTGCCAATCTTGGAATGGCCCTGGATGGCGCCTTTTAATTGGAGACTATTTAGAACTGTTCCTGAAGTTCTTGTGTAATGTGTGTGTTGTTGCCTCCTGTTGGCTTGTGGCAACAGTAGCCAACCAGAGCCAGAATTCTAAGGTTTATACTCTGTTCCCTGCGAAAGCCTCTGCCATTCCAAGAGTGTTAAGTTGTTATTTGTGCTGTAATTGGAACTGTCGAACTGCTTGAGATCCAGATTCTGAGGCAATGCTTCCTGTTACTCTTTTTTTCTATGAATTTTGTTCGATGGCAGTAAATCAGTTGAAAAACAGAAAGCTAGGTAATTCCCAAGAGTAAGCAGCATTTTACACAAGCTTTATTCTAGATCGCCTAAAACATGAGTAGATGGACGAACTATTTTACAAAACAGTTATAGAGATTAATTGCCTTGCTTCTGCAGTCTGACAAACTGACTTAAGTTTTTGCACAGAAATTGCTCTTCCCCACCCCCATGTATATTAGTGTGATTATTTGCAACTCATAATAGGAGGAGGGAAATTACCTAGTATTCTTGAACTGCCTATCATAGTTTTTTCTGTAGCGAGGAAATTGAGAAGGGCTGGAGGTGTCTTGGGAAGAACAGAAAGATAATGTATTAGTAGTGGTCACTTTTCTTTGGTAGAAGTCGTGGTCACTTTCTTTGGTAGAAGCCGCCCCTTC